AGGTACATTATTTAGAGAAAAAAATAGGTTCATTTAAAAAAAAATCATAAAACAAATAATAAATAGATTATCAAATTATTTTTCATAAAACAAGTAATAGGTTCATTATTTAGAGAAAAAAAAACTAGGTACATTATTTGGAGAGAAAAAATAGGTTCATTTAAAAAAATGTTTTTCATAAAACAAACAATAAAAAGATGATCAAATTATTTTTCATAAAACAAGTAAAAAGGGGTACATTATTTAGAGAAAAAAAATTGGTAAACTGTATAGAGAAAAAATAGGTTCATTTAAACAAAATTTGTTTTTCATAAAACAAACAATAAATAGATTATCAAATTATTTTTCAATATAATTAGAATGTACACTATTATTCATAAAACTATAATAAAATAGATTACTAGTAGTATAATTCATAAAAGGAAAAAAAAAAACATAATTTTTTTATTAAATAAACCAAAAAGTTAATCACATATAGATTACTAATACGTTAATGTTGAATTTAATATTTAATTTCAAATAAGTTTCTAAATTAATTCCAACATCATTACAACTATTTGGAGATCTTTCCAAATTTCACGTGTGTGCCATTAATTACACCACCCCACATAACACGTTAACTTGTAAATATGGGTAGTTTTGAAATTCAAAAAATATAATAAATCAGATTTTAAGCTAGATTAGTTAACTTGATTACTTAGATCCTAGTCATCGGGTTTTATTTGAAAAAAGTGGGTATTTTAAATAGAAAAATAAAAGAAAGAGTTGTAGGTGATTAAAAATGAATTTAATGGGTCTAAGTTCAATTTAATTTAAGTCTTCTTAATTTTTTTAATTTTTAATATTGTAAAGTCAACACATCGACGAAAAACTTATTGATATATGACAACAAAAACATTACCTAATAAAATATCAAAACCTGTTAGTCTACTTGGGCAGGTGTCATCGTACGGATGGGTGGAGAGGGCATTTGATGTATCAAATGCTTTCTTGATGACTACTTTGCCAAACTGGCTTCAATAGATTTTCTGTCATTTGACTCTTCTTGACCAACGGGATTCCAACTTTAACCAAGCGTGTCAGAAATTGAACAAAATCTAAAAATTCAGTCCAGAAATTTTGACTTGCAAATATATGATAGTATTGTTAGAGGCCTACATTTTTTAGCTACCTACCTTTATTTTAATATTCGTGATTAATTTCTTCTTTGCCAGCCGGCCTCAGAAAATCAAACGTTGAAAAGAATTGAGAAATGGCCCTGAAGCTGCTAGACAACATTCCAACAACCTTGAAATTCATAATATTAATAAACTCTTGTTTTTGTACCTTTGTAGTTTGTAACTCAAAAAAGAAAACAAAGGAGCAAACTTCAAGTGACTCAGAAAAATTTCTCAGGGTATCTTACCAAAGTCTTCTAAAAGCTACCGATGGATTCTCCTCTGCAACTTGGTTGGTATGGGCAGTTTTGGCTCCGTTTATCCTTGTTCATCACGGCGCTTCCAAAAGTTTCACGGCTGAGTGTGAGGCACATCGCAATCTTGTGAAAGTGATCTCTGCATGTTCTGGTTCTGATTATAACGGTCATGATTTCAAGGCCTTAATTTACGAGGTCATGGTGAACGGGAGCTTGGAGGAATGGTTGCATCCAACTCAAACAATCGGTGAGACGAATCAAAGGCCAAAGAGTTCAACTTTTTCTCAGAGGTTGAACATTGTTATCGATGTTGCTATGGCATTGGATTATATGCATCATCACTGTCAGACGCAGATAGTTCATTGCAACCTCAAACCCAGCAATGTTCTTCTCAATGACGATATGACTGGACATGTAGGTGACTTTGGGTTGGCAAGATTCCTTCCAAAAACTTCTGATGGCAACCACTCAAGTTCCATCGGGGTAAGGGAGCAATCGGCTACACTCCTCCAAGTGATCAATCCTTTCTATCATCATTCCTTAAATTTCTGTCTCTACATACAGTTTGAAGCATGAAGATTTGGCATTGAGCAGTTAATTCAAAATTAGAATATGGTGTATAGTTATGGCATCCTCCTCCTGAAAATGTTTACAGGAAAAAGACCAACCGATAAAATATTTCAAGTGACTTCAAACCTTCGTAACCTTGTCAAAGGAAGTCTGCCTGAGGAAGTGATCGACATTGCGGATCCCGTTCTTGTTCAAGAAAAAGAAGAAGGGGAGATGAACGGAAACAATCGTCTTAATAAGGCTAGCATACAGCTTTGGATCAAATTAGAAGAAAGCTTGGTTGCTATTTTGGAAATTGGTGTTGCTTGCTCTTCAGAGGTGCCTAGAGATTAGTGATGCTATGGTTGAAATGTGTCGGATCAGACACACACTTCAAGCAAATAGAATATATGAATTAAATCATATCTGATTCATTTCTGCTCGATTGAAATAAAAGAGGTTTTAGATCTGTCATGCTGTTAAATGAACTGAAACAACATAATTATCAGTCATTGCTATTTCACTTAACTTACCTTCCACCTTCAATCTTTTTAATTTTTTCCAAAAGAATCTCAAATATCATGTCTGAATCAATAATAATCACTTCTGAGAGGCAGATCTCTTGCCACTTTCTCGTATCTGTGATACATGCTGAAATGCTATGAGAATTAGCTCTAAACAAGCAGAAGGGCAATCTCCACACACGATATACGGACAAGTGGTTAGTAGTCACTAAAAGATATGGAAGCCTTCATTCACTTTCTACTGTCTAGCTAATTTCATTTTTAAAAAAATGGGATTTTATCAAAACAAACATATCCAAAAGAAAGGAAATAAAAATTCAGAAATTAAAACTCAAATACGCGCAACTCAATCATCCCCTCTTTTCTTTTCGGGGAGTACCAAGCGACAACCTTCCCTGATCGTAGAAGTCTCAAGGAGTAGTTCAAGCTGTATATGAAATCCTCAATATGAGGGCCACGTTTCCCAGGCAAGGAGTCGAGTGAAACCCTGGAATCCACTCTAAAGACGATTGGCCCTGCAACCTACAAAGCAAAGGCATGGTATCAATAAGAATTGGTTAATTGACTCCGGATGCATTTAATTATAACAACCACAAAGTTCACCCAGTTATGCACAGATATAATAGGTATTGATAGAAATACCTGCTGCTGAAAGATTAGATTGATCCTAGGGGCGGACATGGGATCTCTGGCACTATTAGCAGATGAACTCTTCAAACCATTAATAACCCTTTTAGCCAAAGCTGAAGCTGAACAGATATCCAGGCGAGCATCTATCCTGGTCAGATCACCGTAAAGCTCTCTAAATTTTCCATGCTGGAAACTATAGCAGACTGAGCCGAAAAAATCAGCACTAAATGGGCTTCTCTTCTTAGTACTTGTAGAATTATCTTCATCTCCCCTCAATTCAACTGCCACTGGGCTGTGACCATCCGGAAACCAGGCTGTGCAGCTGCCACCTAACATGTAATGCCGCCATTGATAGGAAGAAACAAGTGAGAAACAACATTACAATTTCATTTGGCAAACAAAAGGTAAGTATATCAGTGACGATGATTTGGGCCAAAAGAATAACCTATAATTTTGATTAATAATGCTTCACAAATTTAATATATATATTTAATGTAATTGATTAGGTTGAATACCAATTACTTTGGACTATTATAAAACCTTGTAGCTGTTTTTCTATGGTATAAACATCAAGAAATAGTAAAAGAAAAAACCTTAAGATGCATACAGCGATGGATCTGGACTCATAACAAAGAGAAAATTATTGAATTGTTCTTTTCGAATTTTTGTCTAACTCTGGCTCTACAACCATTCACCAACATAACTTTTATTTGTCCCATAATTTTTTTTTTTGGTTTGTCCCAAAATGGAAATAAATTTTCAGAATCAGAGAAAAGTTAATTACATAAACCTAGCATTCATTTACAGCTTTTGTCAATCGCTTTGTGAATGGGTACGGCCTTTTATCAATTGCATAAGTTTCAACTAACTCATATACTTTCTTAACAGTGACTATATCATGCCAAAATGCTGAAGTTAGAATCAAATCAAGATCTCTCCCTTCATTATTTAATGGGGTCTACCGCTAAGTAATTATACTTTTGTATAATACTTGTATATTATTGTGGAAATGGCCTCCCTCCTACACATTGTGGCATGAAATGACCCCTCTCTCATACTGGCTTCAATATGCCAAAGTAGAAAACTTCCCATAAAATAAAATACAAATGACAATGAGAGATGCAATCATGGTTAACACCACACAGAACCAAAACACATAAACATATAAAACAATGAGCCAAATTTATAAAACTAACATGCTCAAAATTATAAGATATTGCACCTGAGTATTAGTAATGAAACTTCCACAAAGAAAAAATATATATTAATGAAACAAGTAAGATATTATGACAGAAAATATGATTAACTTGTAAGGTAGTAAACTTACCAAAAATTCCAGATACTGCAGCATGAGGTTCTTTAAGACGTACATCATACGATGGCCGCCAAAACCAACCCTTGTCTTTCTTTACCATAACATCCTTTTTTGTCTCCTTTTGCCTCCAAAGGTCTTGGCTCTTTTCATATGAAAAACCAGCCTTTGCACACAATCCAGGCATTAGGGAAGTAGGTGCCTCACCATCTATGGAATTTACAGCCTGGGGACGACCACTATTTTTATGTATACCAATGCGGTACCGCAATCCGGATTCAGAAACAAGTGAAGACAGATCTAAGGAAATTGATTCAGGCACATCCCAATATTGTCCCTTATGGTCAATGAACAGCTCAGGCCATGCAGCCTCAAGTGTAATATCATGGTAAGGAAGCTGCAAACATCGTAAAGGTTGAGAAAAATCATTTTGTTGCACATGCCCCATAATCTGAACAGCAAGATAAATGAACGAAATATAGTTCCAGAGATGAACATTGTTACTAAAACAGCTTATGCAGTGTAGCCCCTATGTTCAGTGCAGTGCACATGTTCAATGTTGTTGAATCACATAATCTATATATAAAGGCCAGATATGTAACCAGAATAAACTTGTAAATTAAGGAAGTTGTGCATACTACACACCAAGCCTATCACTTTACTTTCGAACATTTAAGAATGTCGGGAAAATAACACTTAAATTATACATGCTGACAGACTCTGGTATACCTGTTTACCAGAAATGGGGCCCAATGCATGTTCAAGTGAGCAATAGCTCGTATAGATACATCCCTAGGATTACCTATGTTGAACTTTAATTCACATACGAGAAACTTGTTTTCATAGAGAGAACCAAATTATTAGTTGGATGGTAGAGTACAACATAGCATCAGAAAACCACAAAAACAGCTTGAATCTTACACTACAATTAGTAAACAAACCCACCTACAATTAAAAAGAACTTAGATGCTCAGAAGTCCCCACATCCGCATTGCAGACTAGGAAGACAATGAATTCTGACAGTTCAAAAATTACTGTTTAAACAATTTGATTAAATGTCAAAACTATGAAGGAAAATGCGTGCCTTGTGAAATAGCATGAATTTGTTGCGGCGTCCTTTTTTCTCACCATGCCCTTCTGTGCTCAACTTTATGGATGATGAGGGAGTCACAAGAAGCTGTGTGCATAACCCAAACGAATAAAGTGACTTGTCCAAGACATGCTTTGCCACATCTTTGAATGTAGGAAACTCCATGTCATCATTAGTAGAAAATTCAGCTTTAATTGAAGAAATAAGTTTCTTAGGGCGGAACTGCCCAATTAATCCAAGCCACCTATACTCGTGCAGATCATGTAACAAAAGAATTAGTATATCAGACAATTGAGAGTGCTACCATAGTTGATAGATGTGAGAGATGACTTTGGTCTCTTTTTTTTGGGTCAGAATGTGACTTTGGTCTAAGTAGGAAGGGTTGACATGAGTTCTTGGAATATACAGTCACTTCTAATTTCAATTCAAACATCATATTTGTGCCACCAAGGCAAAACAAATTAAATAGTACTTTCATTAGCTAGGATATTGTTCGAATTTCAAAACATAACTTTTTCATCTAACAAGTACCATAAAAAAGATGGATAATCCCAACCAATACTCTGATAACCCTGCGAAATGAAGGCAGTTTCATGCTCTCGAAAAACATGAAACCTCCTTCACACAATAGTAATATAATAAGGCAATAAGAAATTCCATGCTTCATGTGCTATATCAATAGAACTAAGTTAACAAACTTTGTTTGGTTGTCAAGCTTCACCACTCAATCTATCTTTCTCGCATCTTTATCAATTATCAAATACTTCCTATAAAAAATACCCAATAAGAGTCTGATTTCCACATAAACTGCAACATCCTTTTGTAAGGAAAAGTTTGTACAACTCTTTGTATCTCTAACACTACTAAGGAAAATTGCCTCCAATGCCGGGCAGTCTGCAAGATGGAATATAACTTGATTCTCAGTTTGGACAACAGCCACTTCCATAACATTTTGCTTTTATCCATCAACACTCAATAGCAATACTGAATTATTCACCAATAATCCAATGTACATACAATATACCAAAATTTTCTTAATATCAAAGTTCAAACAAAGCACAAACCAAGCCTAGAAACAGAGATAGAGGCTGGTCACATATGACAAAAATACAAAATTGGGAAACACAAAATCATATGTTCATTTTAAAACAAGAAAAAAAACAATTATGCCTTATCCTTTTGCCTCTACCTAATTCAACTCCAGAACTCAAATTTTAAGTGCTTTTTCGCCACACTTGTCAGCAACCAAACAAGCCACAAGCAAAACCAATGAATAACTAAACCATTAAAAGGAGACTTCAATTTCCCAACATTATTTCACCAACCATATAAACCATAAACCCATCCAAGGAAACACACAAAACGAAAGAAAATTACAGAAGAAACGAAAAACAAAATCCAAGAAATAAGCAAAGCATTTATAGCAGTGTACCAGTTAGAGGTAGCTGGTCTGAGCAAGAGGGACTGGAGAGAGAAAGAACCCAAGTCCTTGTGAGAAGTGGGAGAGTAAGAAGGTATAATACCCAAAGGGAACCCATTTCCCAGAAGGGATAGTTGCTGAATCCTGAGGACTCGGCTGGCTCGAGCACCGTCGAGAGGAAATGGGTCGCCGGGGATGGCCTTGGCTGAGCCCTCAAGGGTGTGAGGTGACGACACGTTCAAGTCCCAGAAGGCAGAGTCCATTGCCGTCCTCAGGTTCGCCATTGTTGGCTCTGGAAGAGTTAAACTGAGTGAGGTGGTTTTTGGTTTTTGGTTGGGTTTAAGCGATGGGTTTGTTTGTGTGATGGTTTTATTTGTCCCTTCTTTTGGGTCCTTATCTGTCTTGAAATGTGAATATGAAACGACACCCATAGTTCTTGGGAAAATTACACTTTGACCCATTTAAGGTTTTTATACAAAATGAAAATGATATTGTAAGGGCTTGGGTTAGCCAAGTTGTGATTGAGGTTGAGATAATGAATTGGAATTAGGATTAGAGGTATGCTGAGGCTTGTATGTTTACTTATTAAGAATTGGTATTCGAATTATTCCAATGTATTTTTTAATTTATGCTAAAACAAGAAATTACAAAGAAAAGCCACACGGACACGTATGCCTGAACAGATCAAAATAAAAAGAAGAAGAAGGTCATTCTCTCCCAAAGCTGAGATGGGAAAAGATTGTGACCCAAATTAGCTAAACCATTCGCCGAGAACTCTAAACATGTCTGCAAGCAACATCATCACAAAGGGAACACAACAGCATGATGTCTTGAATAAGCAACTTGAAACTCCAAGGGGAGGCTGTCAAACGGTTCACACAGTCAATAACAACCTTGGAGTCTCCTATTAGAACTTTACGCCATCCTTTATGTAAAGCAAAGGCCAAACCATCCCTAAGAGCCAGGCACTCAGCAATAGTAATGGAAACATGTCCTATATTATTGGCACCAGCAAGCATCACATGTCCATCACAATTCATGATAACAAAACCAGTACCTGTAGTATCATTACAAACTGATTCATCAAATTTCAGCTTCATCCAACCAAAACGGGGGGCTCCTTCTTGAATTTGTGTTTATTAACACGTGAATGATAAAAAAAATTATGTGGGTCCCAAAAACTCTATGAGTTTTCTCTGTTTTATTCCCTCATAATTCCAGAGATAGTGTTGAATTAGCAATGTGTTTAGTCTCTTTAGGAGAGTCAGGCCGGTTAGTGGCCAATTTTGTCCTTGATGTCTTTTGACTATATTCGAGGAAACTATGGCAGTAGTAAGGAGTTATAGAAAAAAAAAATTAAGGGTGATTGTCTCTCGATCGTTTCAGCTTTTCGGTTGGCTCAGGTCAATAGGGAAGTTTTACCCATGTCTGTCATATTGCCTATTGATCTAATAAAATTCTATTGCCTTTTTATAAATAAATAAAAATTACTCCGAACTTTTTTTATTTTTATTTTTAGAATAGAATTAAAATTTGTAATCCAATACTTGAAAAACCATGAATTAATTCGAGTTTTTCTATTTAAACCCTGCACTTCTCTTTGTTAACCCCATATTCTAAGTTCTCCCCAACTTCTAATTCAAATTTTTACAATTTCTTAAAAAAAAAACCCCACTATCTTCCCAAACTATCCCTAAATACACACCTAACCAAAGAAAAAAAAACACTCATCAACCCAACACCCCACACCCCACTATCTTGTCCCTCACCACTCTACTTTGAAGCTTAGTGATTAAAAGCTAATTTAAGCTATCATTACTTATTGTAAAACAAAGAGACTCACGGTCTTTACCTTCCTTGAGGAGCCCTGATCAAATTCTTGCACAAAATTCAGAAGTTTTCTTGGGGAAATCAACATGTGGTCTTCCTGATGGTGACTTCTCACATTACATACCTCAATTGACGACCCACAAGCCAATATTTGCATATCATATTTAAGGTTTGTGAAGAGAATATGAAAGTGTAGTAGGTTTCTTGGATTGAAATAGATAGTAATCTGGTAATAGGGTGTAGAGGAGTTTGTATTTTTCTAAAACTTAATATGAACTGTGGTGGAGTGTGTGTGTGTGTGTGTGTGTGTACTAGGGTTAAGTATTACATTGGATGACTTTTTTATTTATTTATCTTTTTACACAATAATAAAACTTAAGAGATTAATGATTTAAGTATTGGGATGAACAAAGAAAAGTGTAGGGTTTAAATAAAAAAACTCATTAATTCTCATTCATCTCTCTTATTTTCCTAATTCATGAATTCTCCCTTTCCTAGTCAAGAAACATTATGATATTCGTTTGGGACTCCTTCTCTAGGAAGCACTTCTGCTCAACAATAATAAAACTTAAGAGATTAATGATTTAAGTATTGGGATGAACAAAGAAAAGTGTAGGGTTTAAATAAAAAAACTCATTAATTCTCATTCATCTCTCTTATTTTCCTAATTCATGAATTCTCCCTTTCCTAGTCAAGAAACATTATGATATTCGTTTGGGACTGCTTCTCTAGGAAGCACTTCTGCTCATAAGCGCTTCTAATAAAAGCGTTTTTATTATAAAGTTGTTGAAAATTTCATAAAAATTTGAAGTGCTTCCTGAAAAAGCACTTGGAAGTGCTTCCTGAAAAAGCACATGACAAGTACTTCTCCAAAAAGCGCTTCTATAGCCCAGAAGCAGTTCTAAACTTTTCTGCCAAACACTGTCAGAAGCACTTTCGGTTATCAGAAAGCGCTTTTAGCCCTTCCAGAAGCACTCCCAAATGAGCCCTAAGTAAGGGAAAAATTAAACACAAAATTTTGTATTCTAATATTTTTAACTACTTGAAATACAAGCCACTCACTCGGTTCGGCATGCCCCTAATAATAACACAACACATACCCTAGGTCCAATTACTTATGTAAATAATATGAAAATAAAGCAGTATATTCCATATGCTTTGTTGACTAAAAGCCAAAATTCATAAAGGTGTATAGCATGTAACTGTTGGGCTCTTGTATTCAAACCAGGTTTGTGCCAAGGTCGAGTTGGGGCTCAAAATCATCAAGCCGGAGCCCCTACTCTTTCCACAACTGTGTTCGCCCAAGACCATCTATAACATTGGACTTAGGCTTCTCCATCTGCTATCTTCATCTCTGTATATCTATATATAAAGCAAATGACAGAGAATGGTGAAACATTCAAAATACCACAAAATGCCATTGGTTAACGCAAACATTAAGAATTGAAATTATTAATAAAATGAGAATAATATGGTAAATTCACACTTTTTAATATTAAAAAAATCTATATATATAAAGCAAAAGGCAGAGAATAGTGAAACATTCAAAATACAAGAAAATGTCATTGGTTAATGCAAACATTAAGAATTGAAATTATTAATTAAATAAGGATAATATGGTAAATTCACACTCTTTCATATTAAAAAAATTAAAATTAAATGAAAAATAAGATAATGGATCCTATATTTATGGAACACAACTACCCATTATCTTTTTTAATTCTAAAATAAATTTAAATTTTTTTAAAAAAAAAGCTTTGCGCGGAAGCGCATGCGGAGAGGCTAGTTAAAATTAAAAGAAAAATCATATAATGGATCCTATTTTTATGGAACACAACTACACATTATCTTTTTTAATTCTAAAATAAATTTATTTTTTTAAAAAAAAAAGCCTCTCGCAGACATGGAAGCGCGCGTGAAGAGACTAGTATAATCTTATGGCTTATTATCACAAAAGGTACCTAAGGTTTAGGAAACTATCAGATTGCATCCTTAATGTTTTTTTGTGTCACTTATGGTCCTCAAGGTTAGTATGTGTGATCACAAATGGTCCTTGCCGTTAGGTTCCGTCAAAAACTCCGTTAGTTTGCTGACGTGGCATATATATATATCACAAAACATCCCTGAGGTTTACACATCTATCACAAATGGTCCTTGCAAATTTTTTTAATTTTTTTCATTTAAAATTCATAAAATTTTGGTTTTCTTTTTTAAATCTTATGAATTTTAAATTATTTTAAAATATACATTGTATTTTAAATACACATGACACTATATTATTTTAGATGTGGGCTCCACATATATGTCACATCAACAAACTAATGGAGTTTTTAAAAATTAGGCTTATTATCACGAAATTTAAAAATGAAAAAAATCAAGGGTTTAGGGTTTATAAATGGTCCTCAAGGTTAAAATCCTTATATAAATGGTTTTTTCATTTTTAAATTTTTTGAATTTTAGATTATTTTTTTAAAAAAACTTCATTAGTTTGTTGGTGTGGCATATATGTGGAGCCCTCATCTTCAAAAATATAGTATCATATGTATTTAAAATACAATATATATTTTTAAATA